GTCTGTCAATAACAGCTAATTACCAAGACAACCATCACCTGCTGTCTGTCAATAACAGCTAATTACCAAGACAACCATCAGCTCTGTCTGTCAATAATAGCTAATTACCAAGACAACCATCACCTTCTGTCTGTCAATAACAGCTAATTACTAAGACAACCATCACTTTCTGTCTCTCAATAACAGCTAATGACCAAGACAACCATCAGCTCTGTCTGTCAATAACAGTTCATTACTAAGACAACCATCACCTTCTGTCTCTCAATAACAGCTAACTACCAAGACAACCATCAGCTCTGTCTGTCAATAACCGCTAATTACCAAGACAACCTTCAGCTCTGTCTGTCAATAACAGCTAATTACGAAGACAACCATCAGCTCTGTCTCTCAATAACGGCTAATTACCAAGACAACCATCAGCTCTGTCTGTCAATAACAGTTCATTACTAAGACAGCCAACACCTTAATTTGCAGCTGCTAGCAAGATACCACATTAGATATTTCAAGAAGTTTAGTAGAATGGGTACATGACGGTCTCAAAAACGAAGAAAAGTTTCAGATTGTATTAAAAGTGTTTCAGGAGACAGCTGAACGATAGGCTGAGGCACAGACACCTGCATATATAGCCGGTGAGGCAACAGTCTTCATTACAGCTTTGAGCTCAGATCCTGTAGTATAGAGTGGGACAAAGGCTTGACCCTCATCTGCCCTGCTTAAATCCATACTGTAGACAGCAACCCAACCCTATAGTCACACAGACCTGTCCTCTATTCGGTTTAATTATTTGCTTTTATTCACTGTGGAGACCATTTTGTTTTTATGAGAAGCTTAAAGCTTTTTTTTGGCCCAGTTAGTTTCACAATAAACATGATAACCCTGTTCAGTCAGTGAGTTACATGTTTCATCAATAAAGCCCCTCCAGTCAATAAAGCCCCTCCAGTCAATAAAGCCCCTCCAGTCAATAAAGCCCCTCCAGTCAATAAAGCCACTCCAGTTTTTGAGTTGTATGTTTTATCAGTAAAGCTGCACCACCTTTTGTGGTTAATGGTCTTTTGTAGGGGTCCTTTACACAGAGACAGGGTTAGAGTTAGGATTAGAGATAGGATTAGAGATAGGGTTAGAGTTAGGATTAGAGACAGGGTTAGAGTTAGGATTAGAGACAGGGTTAGAGTTAGGATTAGAGACAGGGTTAGAGTTAGGATTAGAGACAGGGTTAGAGTTAAGATTAGAGACAGGGTTAGAGTTAGGATTAGTGACAGGGTTAAAATTAGGATTAGAGACAGGGTTAGAGTTAGGATTAGAGACAGGGTTAGAGTTAGGATTAGAGACAGGGTTAGAGTTAGGATTAGAGACAGGGTTAGAGTTAGGATTAGAGACAGGGTTAGAGTTAGGATTAGAGACAGGGTTAGAGGTAGGATTAGAGATATGGTTAGAGTTAGGATTAGAGACAGGGTTAGAGTTAGGATTAGAGACAGGGTTAGAGTTAGGATTAGAGACAGGGTTAGAGGTAGGATTAGAGTTAGGATTAGAGTTAGGATTAGAGATAGGGTTAGAGTTTTACATTTACATTTACGTCATTTAGCAGACGCTCTTATCCAGAGCGACTTACAAATTGGTGCATTCACCCTATAGCCAGTGGGATAACCACTTTACAATTATTATATTTTTTTTGGGGGGGGGGGGGGGGTAGAAGGATTACTTTATCCTATCCTAGGTATTCCTTAGAGGTGGGGTTTCAAATGTCTCCGGAAGGTGGTGAGTGACTCTGCTGTCCTGGCGTCGTGAGGGAGCTTGTTCCACCATTGGGGTGCCAGAGCAGCGAACAGTTTTGACTGGGCTGAGCGGGAACTATGCTTCCGCAGAGGAAGGGGAGCCAGCAGGCCAGAGGTGGATGAACGCAATGCCCTCGTTTGGGTGTAGGGACTGATCAGAGCCTGAAGGTACGGAGGTGCCGTTCCCCTCACTGCTCCATAGGCAAGCACCATGGTCTTGTAACGGATGCGAGCTTCAACTGGAAGCCAGTGGAGTGTGCGGAGGAGGGGGGTGACGTGAGAGAACTTGGGAAGGTTGAACACCAGACGGGCTGCGGCATTCTGGATGAGTTGTAGGGGTTTAATGGCACAGGCAGGGAGCCCAGCCAACAGCGAGTTGCAGTAATCCAGACGGGAGATGACAAGTGCCTGGATTAGGACCTGTGCCGCTTCCTGTGTAAGGCAGGGTCGTACTCTCCGAATGTTGTAGAGCATGAACCTGCAGGATCGGGTCACCGCCTTGATGTTAGCGGAGAACGACAGGGTGTTGTCCAGGGTCACGCCAAGGCTCTTCGCACTCTGGGAGGTGGACACAACGGAGTTGTCAACCGTGATGGCGAGATCATGGAACGGGCAGTCCTTCCCCGGGAGGAAGAGCAGCTCCGTCTTGCCAGGGTTCAGCTTGAGGTGGTGATCCGTCATCCATACTGATATGTCTCCCAGACATGCAGAGATGCGATTCGCCACCTGGTTATCAGAAGGGGGAAAGGAGAAGATTAGTTGTGTATCGTCAGCGTAGCAATGATAGGAGAGGCCATGTGAGGATATGACAGAGCCAAGTGACTTGGTGTATAGGGAGAAAAGGAGAGGGCCTAGAACTGAGCCCTGGGGGGACACCAGTGGTGAGAGCACGTGGTGCGGAGACAGCTTCTCGCCACGCCACTTGGTAGGAGCGACCGGTCAGGTAGGACGCAATCCAGGAGTGAGCCGCGCCGGAGATGCCCAGCTCGGAGAAGGTGGAGAGGAGGATCGGATGGTTCACAGTATCAAATGCAGCAGACAGGTCTAGAAGGACAAGAGCAGAGGAGAGAGAGTTAGCTTTAGCAGTGCGGAGAGCCTCCGTGACACAGAGAAGAGCAGTCTCAGTTGAATGACCAGTCCTGAAACCTGACTGGTTTGGATCAAGAAGGTCATTCTGAGAGAGATAGCAAGAGAGTTGGCTAAAGACAGCACGCTCAATAGTTTTGGAAAGAAAAGAAAGAAGGGATACTGGTCTGTAGTTGTTGACATCAGTGGGATCGAGTGTTGGTTTTTTGAGAAGGGGAGCAACTCTCGCTCTCTTGAAGACGGAAGGGACATAGCCAGCGGTCAAGGATGGGGGGGAGGATTCAGCAGTGAGGAGAATGTGGCAAAGAGCTTCCTAGGGTTAGAGGCAGATGCTTGGAATTTAGAGTGGTAGAAAGTGGCCTTAGCAGCAGAAACAGATGAAGAAAATGTAGAGAGGAGGGAGTGAAAAGATGCCAGGTCGGCAGGGAGTTTAGTTTTCTTCCATTTCCGCTCTGCAGCCCGGAGCTCTGTTCTGTGAGCTCGCAATGAGTCATCAAGCCACGGAGCTGGAAGGGAGGACCGAGCCGGCCGGGAGGATAGGGGACACAGGGAGTCAAAGGATGCAGAAAGGGAGGAGAGGAGGGTTGAGGAGGCAGATTCAGGAGATTGGAGGGAGAAGGATTGAGCAGAGGGAAGAGATGATAGGATGGAAGAGGAGAGGTAGTGGGAGAGAGAGAGCGAAGGTTGCGGCGGCGCGTTACCATCTGTGTAGGGGCAGAGTGAGTAGTGTTGGAGGAGAGCGAGAGAGAAAAGGATACAAAGTAGTGGTCGGAGACATGGAGGGGAGTTGCAGTGAGATTAGTAGAAGAGCAACATCTAGTAAAGTATGTTCATATATAGCAATATGAGTAATTGTAGTCAGCACCCTACATAACTACTTCTATTGCGCCACTATATCCACTTCAGTACTATGACTTGCTCCACTATATCCACTTCAGTACTATGACTTGCTCCACTATATCCACTTCAGTACTATGACTTGCTCCACTATATCCACTTCAGTACTATGACTTGCTCCACTATATCCACTTCAGTACTATGACACTATGTAAAGTGTAATCAACTACATAATTTGTCAGTTTTTTCTGTTGTATTGGTGTTATTGAGTTCAGGAATGTAGACGTTCTTGTTCTTTTTCAGTACACACAGCCACACACCAATACGCCCCCTCCACACTCACAGCCACACACCAATACGCCCCCCACACAGCCACACACCAATACGCCCCCCTCCCCCCACACACACACACACACACACACACACACACACAGCCACACACCAATACGCCCCCTCCCCCCACACACACAGCTACACACCAATACCCCCCCCCCCACACACACACACACACACAAAGCTTGTCCAGATTCAAGGCAACTGCATCATGACAGCCCGGTGTGAATAAAGCTTTGATAGGTGAAGGCGTGAGACAGACGCCACGCTGAGAGACACACTGAAAACACAACACAGTGGAACCAGCCAGGATAGACCACAGGAGCAGTAGAGACACAGACAGTTTTTTTGTGTGTGTGCCCCGTGTATTCCGAGTGCCCGAAACGTGTGTGTGGCGTGTGTGAACAGGTGTGTGTGCTGTGTGTGTGTTATAGTGTCAGCCAGTACCTCTGCCCTGCGGAGCAGCTCGGTCTTGAGGTACACTCCCAGGGAGAAGGTGAAGGCCCCAGCCAGCACGGCCAGCCAGGACAGCAGCCACAGACCCTGGGCCAGACGCACGCGCCTCTGCAGGGGGAACTGCAGCTTCAGCAGCGCCATGGCTGGTGCTCACAACAACCAACACAGGACTCAGAGAGAGAGAAAAGGACGGAGGGAGGAGATGTTGGGATAATCAAGTAGAGAGAGATAACAGTAAAGGATGGGGAAAGAATATTGGTAGGTTCAAAGAAGGAAAGTTCTGGGCAATAAAGAAGGTGGACTACCGCGATTCATAGGAGTAGGTTATGCGAAGGTTGTTATATTAGACAGAGAAGTATGGCTTGGCCTTTCCAGGGTGCGTTGGTGAGTTATTATCAGGTTGATCTCCTGTAAGTTGTTCATGTGGGTTGAGATAAAAAGGGAGATCCGTCTGATGGTGAAGGACAAGTTTGGGTTGGGACGATAATCCAAAACGTTCACGTAGAAAGGAAAATATTAGAAATCTCCGTAGTAATCCAATTGAAGTCGTGAGACAAAAACTGAAGGCCAAGAAAATAATTAATCTAATAGATATTTGATCATCCACGTCCTTTTTTGACAGCAAAACTATGATCCTTCAAATCATCAGGTTATGGTTGCACCACGACAGTGACTCTTCGATTCACACAATTACTGACGATGACAACACCCGTTTGTTTTGGATGGAACCCCTCTGGTGTGGTCTGTGAGTGGTCAAGGTGCACCCCTAAATTCCTGCTGTGCCCATGGTGGAGGACACGGACTGGCCAATGTCGAGGGTACAGTATGGATATGGTAATCCCCCCATCATAGTCCCTGGGATCCTATTAGGACAGGAGCACCAATGGGAAAGCAGGCCAGTGTCTGATCAGCAAACCAGCACTGGGCCTACAGGTTGGATTTGACGGTTATGACAGATAGACAGATAGACAGGTAGACAGGTAGACAGATAGACAGATAGACAGATAGACAGGTAGACAGGTAGACAGGTAGACAGATAGACAGATAGACAGGTAGACAGGTAGACAGGTAGACAGATAGACAGATAGACAGATAGACAGATAGACAGATAGACCGGTAGACAGGTAGACAGGTAGACAGGTAGACAGATAGACAGATAGACAGATAGACAGGTAGACAGGTAGACAGGTAGACAGGTAGACAGATAGACAGATAGACAGATAGACAGATAGACAGATAGACAGATAGACCGGTAGACAGATAGACAGGTAGACAGATAGACAGGTAGACAGATAGACAGATAGACAGATAGACAGATAGACAGATAGACAGATAGACAGATAGACCGGTAGACAGATAGACAGGTAGACAGATAGACAGGTAGATAGACAGATAGACAGACAGATAGACAGATAGACAGGTAGACAGGTAGACAGATAGACAGATAGACAGATAGACAGGTAGACAGATAGACAGATAGACAGATAGACAGATAGACAGATAGACAGGTAGACAGATAGATAGACAGGTAGATAGACAGATAGACAGACAGATAGACAGGTAGACAGATAGACAGATAGACAGATAGACAGATAGACAGATAGACAGGTAGACAGATAGATAGACAGGTAGATAGACAGACAGATAGACAGGTAGACAGATAGACAGGTAGACAGGTAGACAGGTAGACAGATAGACAGATAGACAGGTAGACAGATAGACAGATAGACAGGTAGACAGGTAGACAGATAGACAGATAGACAGATAGACAGGTAGACAGGTAGACAGATAGACAGATAGACAGATAGACAGATAGACAGATAGACAGGTAGACAGATAGACAGATAGACAGATAGACAGGTAGACCGGTAGACAGGGGGGCAGGGCAACACAATGCCACAGATGTCTAAAGTTTTGAGGGAGCGTGCAATTGGCATGCTGACTGCAGGAATGTCCACCAGAGCTGTTGCCAGATAATTGAATGTTTATTTATCTACCATAAGCTGCCTCTAAAACGTCTAGAGAATTTGGCAGTACGTCCAACCGGCCTCATAACCGCAGACCACATGTAACCACGCCAGCCCAGGACATCCATGCTGAGGAGAGTATTTCTGTCTGTAATAAAGCCCTTCTGTAGGGAAAAACTCATTCCCATGGCTGCACCCCATGTTCAGTATAGGTTAGAATAGGAGAGAGAGTGATGGCTTAACATAGGAAGTGGGTAATGTTTGGGAAAGACAAATCAAGAAACCTTGTCAGATATGTTTAGAATTAGTCATTTTATTGATCTACAACATGAAACGTATTTGGGGGGGGGGTGACAGAAACGTTATACAGTTTTAGCTAAGAGAGTTTATTAGGATGGACAGCATAGCATTCATAAGTAAGGCCCTGTGTTTTGGACAATCATGTCACAAGACCTGGATTTGAACCTTTATTTAAAGCTTTTTCATCAAACTGTCCCCTTTTCTTTTCATGTCAGATGGTCCAGCTCCATCCTCAGACAACTGCTTTATTTTCTGGTGTAATTCACATCTCTGGATAAGGTTTCAAATAAAGGTTAAAATCTAGGTAATGTGACATAATAGCCCAAAACACATGGGGTAATCTGTTAATAGCAGCTGGATCGATGTTATTCAGATATGAAGGTTACTTCATTGGCTTACTGGAGCTTACAAAATAGCAGTCATTGTTACAAAATAGAAAATTCTACGACAAAAAAACTATTTCAATTCTGCATCACTTCATAAGGGAAAGGAGGGACTCTGTACCACATTGCAAACTTGAATTAATAATTACATTCTATATATACGTAAAATAATTGTTTAAGTCTAATACTTTCTTTACCACCGCACAACAAGACATTTGGGAAGGAAACAGAATGTAATATTTACAATACCATCACTCAAATGTATAGTGACATTTAGTGAGTGAAATAAATGCAGAACTACAGGCCTCAAACATCACAAACAAACCATCACAAACAAACCATCACAAAGAAACCAATACAATTTGAACAATCCTAGCCTATACAAGATTAGGTTACAATTACAGAAGTTCATAGGTTCCTTTCACTCCGCCCCCCTCTCGTCAGTTCTTCCCCCTCCCATGTTGGCCTTGTGCCCCCTCCCTCCCCCCCACCTCCACTCCCATCCTCTGGGTGCGTCAGCTGGTGCAGGAAGTCATCCAGAACCCTCTGGGCCGTCAGATAGGACACATCAACAACAGCACCCTGCTTACTCTCAGCTGCTCTCCCTGCCTCTGCCACGCCCCCCTTGACAGAAGGCACAAGGTAACCCTCCCCCCCTGCACCTCCTGCACCCCCTGCACCCAACTCCACCAGAGGGTAGGGGTTGGGAGGGGTGTCAGTGTGAAGTTGGTAGTTGGAAGGCCGAGGCTGTCTTGCCGCTTGGCTGGCAGCTATCTTCTTATAGATAGCCATACTGATGTCAGCGACGGAGAAAGGGGGACTCATCGGGCGAGAATCCTCATTTCCTGTCTGACCTATCACCCCAAACCCCTCCTTCTCCTGCTTGCAGGGCATAAAAGCAGTGACCTTTTGTGGACCCGCCTCAAACTCCCTCAGTCCTACGCCTGGCCAATCAGACGGCTTCTGCTCCAGTTTTGGAGTGAATGATTCGATGTCGCCCGTAGATTGGCCGGTTTTCAAGGCGTTCTTCAGAAACTGCTTGACAGCGTCTCCAGAGTCAAAGTGCTTTTCTAGGTGCTCCTTGATCAGACAGGGAACCTGGAGGGCAGCACAGACATCCTCTCAGTTCATACAGTACAACAGACATAGAGAAACCAGTAGAGGAGTTACAAGAAATGATCATGTAGTCTGCAATGAGCTGAACACGAGTTGAGGAGATTATGGATACAGTATTTTAATGTAAGGCCACTATCAACTTTACAAATCATCATATTGTCTTTCCACCACTCTTTCTGTTGCCAGTACATGAACAAAGCTAGTGTGGGTTTTAGTTCATATATTGCTCAGTAGATGGTGCTGTGCTCACATTGATGTTCTCCAGAGTGGCGACGGTGGCGTTGGCCTGCTCCAGCTCTGTGCTGAGATGGGTGATACGCTGCACCATATATTTCCTCTCAGAGCTAAGGCTCTCGGTCTGCAGGGATAGAGCAGAGGACATGACTCAACATATTCAGTACAGTTTGTTCTAGAGATGGTATAGCAGTAGTACTAATTGTGCTCTCAGTCTTTAAGGACAGAACAGAGCAGAGGACATACAGTGCCTTGCAAAAGTATTCATCCTCCTTGGCGTTTTTCCTTTTTTGTTGCATTACAACCTGTAATTTAAATGGATTTTTATTTGGATTTCATGTAATGGACAAAATAGTCCAAATTGGTGAAGTAAAAACAATTCTAAATAACTTCTTTCAAAAAATTCAAAAAATAAATAACGTAAAAGTGGTGCGTGCATATGTATTCACCCCCCTTTGCTATGAAGCCCCTAAATAAGATCTGGTGCAACCAATTACCTTCAGAAGTCACATAATTAGTTAAATAAAGTCCACCTGTGTGCAATCTAAGTGTCACATGATCTGTCACATGATCTCAGTATATATACAACTGTTCTGAATGGCTCCAGAGTCTGCAACACCACTAAGCAAGGGGCACCACCAAGCAAGCGGCACCATGAAGACCAAGGAGCTCTCCAAACAGGTCAGGGACAAATTTGTGGAGAAGTACAGATCAGGGTTGGGTTATAAAAAAAATATCAGAAACTTTGAACATCCCACGGAGCACCATTAAATCCATTATAAAAAAAATGGAAAGAATATGGCACTACAATAAACCTGCCAAGATAGGGCCGCCCACCAAAACTCACAGACCAGACAAGGAGGGCATTAATCAGAGAGGCTACAAAGAGACCAAAGATAACCCTGAAGGAGCTGCAAAGCTCCACAGCGGAGATTGGAGTATCTGTCCATAGGACCACTTTAAGCCGTACACTCCACAGAGCTGGGCTTTACGGAAGAGTGGCCAGCAAAAAGCCATTGCTTAATGAAAAAAATAAGCAAACACGTTTGGTGTTCACCAAAAGGCATGTGGGAGACTCCCCAAACATATGGAAGAAGGTACTCTGGTCAGATTAGACTAAATTTGAGCTATGTCTGGAGCAAACCCATCACCCCGAGAACACCATCCCCACAGTGAAGCATGTGGTGGCAGCATCATGCTGTGGGGATGTTTTTCATCGGCAGGGACTGGGAAACTGGTCAGAATTGAAGGAATGATGGATGGCGCTTAATACAGGGAAATTCTTGAGGGAAACCTGTTTCAGTCTTCCAGAGATTTGAGACTGGGACAGAGTTTCACCTTCCAGCAGGACAATGACCCTAAGCATACTGCTAAAGCAACACTCGAGTGGTTTCGAACACTTTGGAATGGCCAAGTCAAAGCCCAGACCTCAATCCAATTGAGAATCTGTGGTATGGCTTAAAGATTGCTGTACACCAGCGGAACCCATCCCACTTGAAGGAGCTGGAGCAGTTTTGCCTTGAAGAATGGGCAAAAATCCCAGTGGCTAGATGTGCCAAGCTTATTGAGACATACCCCAAGAGACTTGCAGCTGTAATTGCTGCAAAAGGTGGCTCTACAAAGTATTGACTTTGGGGGGGGTGAATAGTCATGCACGCACAAGTTTTCAGTTTTTTTGTCTTATTTCTTGTTTGTTTCAGAAGAACAAATATTTTGCATCTTCAAAGTGGTAGGCATGTTGTGTAAATCAAATGATACAAACCCCCCCCCAAAAAATCCATTTTAATTCCAGGTTGTAAGGCAACAAAATAGGAAAAATGCCAAGGGGGGTGAATACTTTTGCAAGCTACTGTAAGTCAACACAACACTGTGTGTTGTAGAGGTGACGGAGCGGGAGAAGGATATTCAGAGCAGTGTATGTTTCTATGCCTGGGTGGGAATATGAGTTTGTATAGTGGCAGGAGTCTTTCTCGACCATATGACCTGACCTGGACAGACTAGTTATAGACCAGGGCCCACAGTGTTACCTGGCCAGGGCCCACAGTGTTACCTAGATAAGATATCCTCAGTCTCTCTCTGTCTCTCTCTCTCTCTGTCTCTCTCTCTCTGTCTCTTTCTGTCTCTCAGTCTCTCTCTATCTCTCAGTCTCTCTCTGTCTCTCTGTCTCTCTGTCTCTCTCTCTCTCTGTCTCTCTTTCTCTCTCAGTCTCTCTCTCTCTGTCTGTCTCTCTCTCTCTCTGTCTGTCTCTCTCTCTGTCTCTCAGTCGCTGTCTCTTTCTGTCTCTCTCTCAGTCTCTCTCTCTGTCTTTGTCTTTGTCTCTCAGTCTGTCATGTTTGACCAGATTCTTACCGCTGAGTGCAGTTTCTCCCCCAGCAGGCTGTTGGTGTGCTGGGTACCTGTGTATGTGTCCTGGAGCCTGCAGCAGAGAGAGACACAGCATCATAAACAAGGGTCTGGCTATGAATTCTGGGCCCATGTTGTATGCCCGTCCTCCTATAGCTCCTCCACTGCCAGCCTCCACTGCCGTCATCATATTATCATGAGCCCTGACCTCTTGAACTTCTCCTTCATGTGGCTTAGCTCCTCCCTGGCCCTGGCTAGCTCCGCCTCCAGGCTCTCAATGCAGACCACTGTTTGCATCAGGTTCTGGTGCAGCTCAGCATTTTCATCCTGCAGTGCCCTATTTACACACAGGAGGATCATGGGAGATGGAGTTTTATTAAAGAAATGCAGTCACATTTCCTAAGGTGGCCATTTTAGCACATTAGATGCAGCTCAGGTCAGCTTCTAGAGATTTCACATAGCTAAGTAATCCAGACTGAACGCTGTGCGTTGTACCATTGTTACACACATTTTTCATACAGCTTATCTAAACATGTTCTTCATCCATCTTTACTGATAGAGGTGATGAGAGAGCTCTGTAAGTCAATAGTGGAATCGATATCCAGTGACATTTCACAATAAAAAGGATGTTCTTTAAAGTGCATCGATAAACAAGAGGAGAGGATGAGGAGGAGAAGGAAAAAAATCCCACTCACTGGAGTTGGCCTATGTCACCCGTCAAGGCCTATGGAGAGAGACAGCACAAGAGAAGAGAAGATTAGAGATAACTGTCAATGATTTTCTAGTGTAATAGCTTTTAATACAGTTATATTAGCTGTATTAGTCATGTTATTATCAATGTACAGTGCAGTTTCTTCACTTTCTAATAAAGTTTCATAAACTGAATTGAATGTTTTTTGGACAGAGATGAAAAGGGTAGAGAGAATGATAGGGACATAACAGGGCCAAAGGGATTGATTATTGAACTTTAGTTGATACGCTCCAGGAAAGCTATTGATTGTGTGTCAGATATGGGTCAGTGAGGTTAATAAAGCCAGAGCCGCAGCCCTCTCTGTGCTAGCTGGCACACTGGCCCTCTCGGGTTGGGTAGCGTGTTGTTCCCAATGCAACACAATGCCTATAAAGGTTACTCGTTACCTAACATGGTTCAGTGTGGACAAGCGTCACAGACAGAGGATGACGCTTGAGTTCTCCTTATATAACTGCTGCTTTGTGGTTTAGGACATCAACTGACACTCCCTGTGTGGTTTGAATCACTTTGAGAACATTAAAGAACTTTGGGACAAATCCTACTTGGGGATCATAATGACATCAATGCATGATTTACCTAACTCTACTGTTAGGACCTACTATCTATAGTATGTATTTCGACCCTTTGACTCCATCGGCATACAGATGTAGGATCTTAATTTGATAACACTTTTGTTGCTGAGAATTTTCCTGCAAAGCAGGAAATACAAACTTGTATTGTATTTAAGTTTTTAAAAGGCTTCTAAAGTTTGTAATTCCCACTTAGAAATTTCAGACGAAAAATGTATTAACCCCTACAAAAATGTCCATTAATTATAATCTAGGTAGGACGCAATCCAGGAGTGAGCCGCGCCGGAGATGCCCAGCTCGGAGAGGGTGGAGAGGAGGATCTGATGGTTCACAGTATCAAAGGCAGCAGACAGGTCTAGAAGGACAAGAGCAGAGGAGAGAGAGTTAGCTTTAGCAGTGCGGAGAGCCTCCGTGACACAGAGAAGAGCAGTCTCAGTTGAATGACCAGTCCTGAAACCTGACTGGTTTGGATCAAGAAGGTCATTCTGAGAGAGATAGCAAGAGAGTTGGCTAAAGACGGCACGCTCAATAGTTTTGGAAAGAAAAGAAAGAAGGGATACTGGTCTGTAGTTGTTGACATCAGTGGGATCGAGTGTTGGTTTTTTGAGAAGGGGAGCAACTCTCGCTCTCTTGAAGACGGAAGGGACATAGCCAGCGGTCAAGGATGGGGGGGAGGATTCAGCAGTGAGGAGAATGTGGCAAAGAGCTTCCTAGGGTTAGAGGCAGATGCTTGGAATTTAGAGTGGTAGAAAGTGGCCTTAGCAGCAGAAACAGATGAATAAAATGTAGAGAGGAGGGAGTGAAAAGATGCCAGGTCGGCAGGGAGTTTAGTTTTCTTCCATTTCCGCTCAGCTGCCCGGAGCTCTGTTCTGTGAGCTCGCAATGAGTCATCAAGCCACGGAGCTGGAGGGGAGGACCGAGCCGGCCGGGAGGATAGGGGACACAGAGAGTCAAAGGATGCAGAAAGGGAGGAGAGGAGGGTTGAGGAGGCAGAATCAGGAGATTGGAGGGAGAAGGATTGAGCAGAGGGAAGAGATGATAGGATGGAAGAGGAGAGAGTAGTGGGAGAGAGAGAGCGAAGGTTGCGGCGGCGCGTTACCATCTGTGTAGGGGCAGAGTGAGTAGTGTTGGAGGAGAGCGAGAGAGAAAAGGACACAAAGTAGTGGTCGGAGACATGGAGGGGAGTTGCAGTGAGATTAGTAGAAGAGCAGCATCTAGTAAAGATGAGGTCAAGCGTATTGCCTGCCTTGTGAGTAGGGGGGGACGGTGAGAGGGTGAGGTCAAAAGAGGAGAGGAGTGGAAAGAAGGAGGCAGAGAGAAATGAGTCAAATGTAGACGTAGGGAGGTTGAAATCCCCCAGAACTGTGAGGGGTGAGCCATCCTCAGGAAAGGAGCTCATCAAGGCGTCAAGCTCATTGATGAACTCTCCAAGGGAACCTGGAGGGCGATAGATGACAAGGATATTAAGCTTAAATGGGCTAGTGACTGTGACAGCATGGAATTCAAATGAGGAGATAGACAGATGGGTTAGGGGAAAAATTGAGAATGTCCACTTGGGAGAGATGAGGATTCCTGTGCCACCCACCCCGCTGACCAGATGCTCTCGGGGTATGCGAGAACACATGGTCAGACGAGGAGAGCAGGAGTAGGAGTAAGC